CCATTGCAATGTCTGACCATGGGCAAAGACCTAGCCTTCCAAGTCGAAGTCCTTGCTTAACACATGTATGGCCCAGGCCTTGAATGTTACATGCCAGGCTTTGATGTTGCAAAAAGTGGTTTTGAAAAACCACATGGTTCTTGATATGTTCACCATAGGTACTTGTGCCCTGTTTCATATGTTACATTTATATGTACGCCTGATCTTTGAGAGAGTGGGATGTGGGGAACCACTTAGACTACTTCAAAATTCAGGGGCATCTAAGGACACCTGAGGACATGACCCTGCTTGTCTAGGGCAGGCCACAATGGGGCACAGTTACATAACCATAACTTGGCACAGGTAAACAAGCATACACTAATTATAGCACTATGTAAGAATGTAAACATGAGATAACAACCTGTATAAGACTTACACAATAAAGATGCAGGTGGCTGTCTTGCTCTGGCCTTCTGCTCAACTCCATGCTGCCTGCTGATGCTACTGTCTTGCACATGTGTGTTCTTTAACCTTGGGACCTCACACAGGAAAATCTTGGGCCCCCTGAATGGGCCTACAATATCCAGTGGACTTTCACCTCTTAAAATACCTATAGCTCACAATACATGCTTAAGGTAAATACACCAAAATATTGTGATAAGTTCGAGTAAGATGGTTATGAGGCTATTTATAATCTGTTCATATTCTAAATAGTGAACAACAATCACATATTGTTTTCATGATCAAGTGTAGAGGACTACCTGGATGACTCTCCTTGAATAAAGAGCAACTATCTCCATTTTGGCTAAAGTTGGCCCTATCTCCATGTACTGATATGTACAGAACTGCCTAGGCTATCTCTTTATCCCTTCAATTTAAGAAATATAAGCAGGGCTAGCTAAGGTGCTGACGCATAATCTTTGGAACTAGTCTTTTTTTTGACTCTGGGGACTGAACTTGCAACCTTACACTTGCCAAACAGGCACTTACACTGCTGAGCAAAATCCTCAGCCCCTGGAGCTAGTCTTTGACAGTCACTGTTTTTCTGCTCATGACTCCCAAAAAACAGGGTTGAGTTGGGTGGAATAACAGCTCAGTGGCTGTCAACTGGGATTGAGCCTTAAGAGGCTATGACTTTAATGGACAGAAAGTTTACATATCAGAACTGAAGCACCACACCCAGACCCTAAGACATTAAATGCTATCTCAATTGTGTTGTACAGGTTAGTCTTGGTGGGTTTTTTTTTTTTTTTTTGTACTGGAAATTGAACTCAGAACCTTGTGCTTGCCAGGCAGGCACTCACGTAGCTGAGCTATATCCCCAGCCCTAGTCTTTCTGCATAATCTTCTCTCTGCATATTGCAGAGATGCTTTCAGGCTTCCTCCTTAGCCCAGCTCACAGTACTCATGTATTTTCTGCCATTCTCACAGTCGCTCATCCTCGAGCCTCTCCCTTCTTCACGAGTTAATAAAATTCCAGTTGGGTCCTGGGTCGAGGCCTTTGCTCTGATGAACCTTCATCTTGACTGGACTTAGGACCCCTTGGCTTCCCATAACTACAAATCTCTTAGTGTCTTATTCTTGCCATATGTTGTACTGACTATGATAGATTTGAATTAGCTTACTGAAATTCCAATAATGTTTCCATATGATTACAAATACAAACTTCCCAGACCGAGACAAGGACCAGGAAGGGCTCTCTATAATCAAGAAAATCACTTTTTAAAACAAGAAAAGTTGATTTGGGGATGTAACTCAGTGGTAGAGTGCTTACTTAGAGCACATATGGCCCAGGTTTAATTTCCAGCCGTGCCAAAAGGGGGAAAAGTTTTAAATGCTGAAGGGTATTTTACGTGTGTAACCCAAAAATAGCACTGAGGTTCTAAGGAACACATCTTCTTTTCAAATGGGGAAAAAATCTATCTCTGTTTTCAAATGTTATTATAGCATCACTTACATTTCAGAGTCTGAATTTTTCAGTCTGAATTCTGGACTTGATTAGGGTTTTCATTTTCTGGATAAGTTGTTGAATTTTCAGAACTGCTGAAATATATTTCAAAGTATTCAACTAAATCAAGAACTAGGATGGCCAGGTAGTGGCACAAGCCTGTAATCCCAGCACTTGGGAGGACAAGCCAGGAGGATCACTGTAAGTTTGAGGCCAGCCTGGGTGTGCTACATGTGAGATCTTATCTCAAACAAAAGAAAATAAAATGAAGTAACACACACACAAACACACACAAAAAACAAATAGAAGACAAAATTTAAAATTTCATTAATGTGATAAAAATTAATATGCCATCAAGGAATTCGTGTTGGAAAACCAGAGAACTTAAATAAATTGCTTGATTTCTCCAAGACCTCAATTACTATATATTCATTTAGAAAATGGGTAGAACCTGTAACACTTGCCAGGCTCTGATGAAAAATACATGAAGTGACTGATACACAGTGGGTGCTAACAAACAAGTCCAGACCTTGTATAAGATACAGTAGGCAGTGAGGAAGGGACCTCACAGGGCTTCTGTTACCACCTATGGGAAATAGGAGATATATAGGTCGAAGATTGTAGTTTTAAGTTACTAAGATCCAGAACCTTTATATATATATATATATATTTTTTTTTTTTTTTTTTTTTTTTTGGTACCAAGGATCAAACTCATGACCTTGCACTTACCAAGCAAGCGCTTAAGCTAAATCTCCAGCCCTCAGAAACATTTTTATCTTTTGTCATTTCTGTTATTGTGTGAGTCTGCTTGAAGGAAAAAAAAGATGTTTTCTAGCCAGACATGGTGGTACATTGCTGTAATCCCAGTGCTTTGGAAGAATAAGTCAAGAGGAAGACTATGAGTTTGAGTTTAGCTTGGTAACAGTGAGATTCTGGCCAAAAAAACCCAAAAAACAAAAAACACGAGGGACGTAACTCAGTGGAAGGCTCTACTTTCAATCCTCAGTCCAGAAAAAAAAAAGAGGAGGTAACTTTAGGATTACCAAGCATAAAAGAAAAATTATTCCAAATTTGATCTAGGATAGAATCTTTTTCCTGATGTAAATTACAACTTTCTTTTGGAAAGAAATAAATGTGCCTGATAAAGTATAAACAATTTTGAGGTAAAATTAAATTTTGGCAACACTACTAACTCCCTTCTTGCCCAGCTGTCAGTTTAAGAATCTAGTAATCTTTATGTAAGATTACTCTTCTATTGGCATCTAAACTTACCTTTCTTTATAAATGTCTACTACATTTGGAATTGGTGTTGCTTTTACAGCATGTTTATAATCAAGCTTTGATCTATGGTGGTAAATGGTCAGAAATGATTTGTTGTTTTTAACTATGGAAGGAGAGGCCTTAACTCTGCAGAACCAGTCTTGGCCCAGGCCCAAACTATGTGATGGTGGCTTTAAAATGAATGAAAAGAAAAACATTCCTGTACTCTGCTGAGTGGTAGAAAAGGCAAGTCCAAGGGGCTGGGGATTTAGCTCAGCTGCATAAGCACCTGCCTTATAAGCGGGTGGTCATGAGTTCAATCCCTGGTACCAATTAAAAAAAAAAAAAAAAAGCAAATCCCAGGGGAAAACTTCCCAAAGGTTGTCAGATGTCCCAGTAGGTATTTGGCAGGCCTGGATATTGTAGGGCATATTGTACCAGTCAGAGGCTTTAAAGCCAGGATAGGAGAAGACATCAAGCGTTAGACAATTTGAAGACTTGACCACAAAGAGTACATTTGGGAACAAGTAACACACTAGATTTTGGTTTGATTTTATATATGTCGATCAGATTACTATTCAGAAATCATCATCATGGAATGGCTTAAAAGACACCATCTCACTTTGGACTAGAGGCTGAGTCAGAAGAATCACAAATTCAAGTCCAGCCTGAGCAAAATTAACGATCTGGTGAGAGTTTATCTCAAAATCTGAAATTGAAAAAAGAGGTAGGAGGCGCAGGACACAGAGACACAGGCTTCTAATTCCAGCACTAGGGAGGCTGTAATAGGATCCCTGCAAATTTGAGGGCAGTGTGGGCTACAGCGGGAGAGCCTGTCTGAATAAAACCAAAGGTCTGGTAATACAATTCAGTGCACAACCCTGAGTTGAGTGCCTAGTACCGAAAGGAAAGAGAGAGAGAGAGAGACAGAAATCACTTATTTCTAGCTGTCCTTCACTTTACTCTCAACTTTACTCTTTAAAAAGGGCTGCTGAGCTGGGTGTACACACCTATAATCAGCATTTGGGAAGCTGAGACAGGAGGATTATTAACAGTTCCAGGCCAACCTGGGCTACACTGTGAGTTTAAGGCCTGACTCAACTACATAGTGAGTCCCTGCTTAAAAAATAAAAGGGGTGGGGCGCGGGCACAGGAGGAGTTTGCTGGATGTTATGATTTCCATAGTAAGTCATTCACTGACAGATTAGAGTGCTAATTCTGACATAACAGCGCAAACCTAGCATTTTTCTATCTGTACATAACAAAAACGTGTCTCACTTGCTTATCCTTTCTGTGCCATGCAGGACCCTTTCCTTCCCCCACCTACCTCCCCATCTCCTCTTCCCTCCCTCCTTTCTCGGTCCTGAAATTCTCACTCCTTCAAAAACCCCCAGTCTTCTCGCTGTCCACTCTGGACCAAGGAGCTGAAGCTGTCCTGTGAGGTTTAATCTTTCTTATTACCACGCTTCAGTGGTCCCTTGGCCTTGTTTTTTGACAGGTTTAATCCCCGCGGTGTCCCACACCCCATAACCTAACCCCCCCTAGTCCCTGGTTTCCCCCAGCGCACACAGCGCCTCTGGTCCCACGTCCCCACCCCACCTCCCGCACTACCCCCCCACCCCCACCTCCCGCACTACCCCCCCACCTCCCGCACTACCCCCCACCCCCTCACCTCCCGCACTACCCCTCCATCCCCCACCCCCCTCCAGCCCCCCACACCCCCACCTCCCGCACTACCCCCCCACTCCCCGCACTACCCCTCCATCCCCTGCAACCCCCACCCCCCGCGTAAGCTGCGCGCGCCGCGCACCCGCCCTGCGCAGATCAGCGGCCCCGGGTTGCCCCGCTGACCGCGGCCTCCAGGGCGCCGCCCAGGCTCGAGGGCGCAGGGCGGGCCTCGCGGGGTGACCGGCTGCCACGACGCGGCTGCCACGTCAGGGCAACTTCACAAACCCGGACGAGGGCGGTGACGCCAGCCGGGGGCCGCCGCGGGGTTGGGTCTGCGGCCGAGAGACGCTGACCTGCAGCCCGGGCGCCCGGTTCGGCAACGCCCCGCCGGCGCCGGCGCCCGCCCGGCCCTCAGGGAGGCGGGCAGCCCCGAGGAGGTGGCGCCGCGCCCGCACCCCGCCGCCCGCCGCCCGCCGCCCGCCGCCCGCCGCCCCGGAGAAGGCCCAGTCGGCCTGAGCCGCAGCCCGGAGCCCCAGCCAGCCCAGGGCCCCGCCATGGAGACCCGCTACAACCTGAAGAGCCCGGGTGAGCCGGGCGGGAGCGGGCGGGGCGGGGCGGGGCGGCTGGGCTCCGGGGCGGCTGGGCTCCGGGGCGGCCCTGGGCTTCGGCCGCACTGCGGTCCTTTGCGTCCGCCCCCCTCTCGGCCGCGACTCGGGCTTGGCGCCTTACGCGAGACCGCCGCCTGCCTGTGAGGTGCAGGCCGCAGGGCGGCCCGGGTGGGGCGCCGCCCGACCCCGCTGCCCACAGCTGCTCCTTTCCCACGTTTTTGCCGAGAGCCGGGTCGGACACAGACCCCTGCCGAAGAGCAGGTGTGAGGGTGGGGGCCGTGCGGGAGCCTCAGCAGTCCTTGCTGTGTCTGCATTCCCCATGCCGACGCGAGCCCGCCCTGACCCTGCCTCCGGATTTGAAGAGTTTGATGCTTACAAGTGTCCTGTTTGCAGAATTTGGAGCGAGTAGAATTACAGACATAAGGAAAATGTTCTGTGACTAAACCATTTAGCCAAGGAGCTGGAAAACTACTTGAGACCTAACCATGATTTTTGCCAAACTGACTAATATGATACATACCTGGATTCAGTCACAGAGATTTTGTTAACTATATTTAATGCCCCTGGTCCATTCGCAGCACAGACAATCCTAGCCTCCAGTTATTTTTTTGTTGCATTAAAAAAATGCAGTGAAAGTACTAGTTCTCTAAAGCTTAAAACGAATCGCTGAGTAGTATAGTTGGTATTTGTTATGATCTGTACCTTGATAAATTTGTCAAGATGGAGAAACTTCAAAGTTTAGCTCTTAATGATACATCTTAGGATATTAGTGACTGTTTACTAACTCCTGCTGATGCTTATATTTTCTTTACATAACTGCTTCTGAATAGATATCCAGATTAGTATCCTTCTAAGAAGAGCTGATATTGTGAAAATCTTTGGTTTTTAAAAAACTATTTCAGAATATGCAAAGATTCCAGAAAAGCCTCAGGATATTAATTGAACAGCTCTTTCTTAGCCTGAATATGGTCATCCAACCAACCAACCAACCAACCAACCAACAGAAAACAAAACGCTATTAATGGACCAACGGTGAAGAATCAGCCACAATGTTTTGGGGATTATAGGTCTCTTTAAAAATCTGGTGAAAACTGGGGCCTCTGCAAGAACATTTACACAATGCAGTTTATTGGTTCACAGTCCTTCATCCCAGTCTGTCCAGGAAGGGAAAAAGATCAAAGAAAAAGTGGGACATGCTTATCATGATTTGATGGTAGAATGATTGAACTATTTAGATTTGGTAGATTTAAGTAAAACTGTGTTAAAACTATATGGTGAGTATTCAGTTACTTGCTTCCTAATAAGAAGAGATACTTAAATGTCCAAAGAATAATGCATTGTGAAAAGCAGTGAAATTTGGGTGGAGAAGTTATAGGTTCCAAGAAGTTGTAGTAGAGGACATTGCTTAGTTTTGATAGGCTATCCTGGCTAAGATGATAATCTTTGAAAAGTTTTCCAGAATTTTGTATATTTCCAAAGTATGTGACATGGTATCAGCAGGTTGAGCTTTGGTTAACATTCTTATAGCTGTATAATAAATTGCATCATCTTTTTGGTTTCATTTCCTAGAGGTTGTATTGCTGTTTAAAAAGTATTTTTAGGGGCTGGGGATTTAGCTCAGCAGCATAAGCGCCTGTTTTGCAAGCAGGCAGTCGTGAGTTCGATCCCTGGTACCAATAAAAATGAAAAAAGACCAAAAAAAAAAAGTTAAAAAAAAAATAAAAAGTCTTTTAAAAAATCTTTTTTGTTGTTGTTGTTGCCAGATATGGTGGCACACATATGTAATAAAAAAGCAGCACACAGGAAGCTGAGGCAGTAGCATTGCTGAAGGAAGTTTCAGAGCTGGTCTGAACTAAGTAGCAACATACTGTCTCAAAAAACAAAACAAATCCAAACCAACAACACCCAGAATTCCCCCAAATCTTCTTTGTTGTGTGGATCACTTGGAGTTCATGGGAAGCTGAAATGGGTGAGATATGGGACTGATTGAAAGTGCTGGGATGGGGATTTAGCTCAGCGGCAATAAGCGCCTGCCTTGCAAACAGGCAGTCATGAGTTGGATTCCCCGGTACTGATAAAAATGAGAAAGACAAACAAACAAACAAAAAAAAAAAAAAAAAAAAAAAAAAAAGAAAGAAAATGCTGGGATGCATAGTAAAAATGCTTCCTTTTTTTTTTAATCTTTAGACTTCTGATATTTTTAGAGTAATACCTACGTGAAAGGAAGTGGTTAAAAATACCACACATCCTCTGTCTGATGTGGGGCTGTCTCACAAGTATAGGTGGGAAAATTAAGTGAAGACAATACAGATTAACTGGTCAGTGTACCAGCATGCAGCTAGTGAATTTGTTTGTGTCATCAGAGGGAAAACATTTCTCCTGGGTGATTTTTCTGAATGGACTTGCTGTGGTGAACAAAGTTCTGTGTAGAGTGACCTGTAAATCTATGACTAACCTAGTTGTATTAAGTCTCCTCTGGCCACAGTAACAGATATTACGGTTCAAAGTAGGGAATCCTGTGTATAGAGAACCTCTTTTGGCAGCCTTCGAAGGGGACCAGGAGCATATACAGCACATGTGGGTGATGGGAGCATAGCAGGCTGGTGCTAGGCACCCACCCTCTCTACCAGAAACCTGAGAGTACCCTCTGATGCTGGGTTCTAAAACCCAGATCATCAGTTTTTTCACTTTTCCCAATCTTGCTTCTCACTCTGATATTTCTTACACTAACAATTGATAGCACTTTAGGTGCCTATCTGAGCCCCCCCCCCTTTTAAATAAAGTACGGGGGATTAATCCTAAGGCTTCACAAATGCTTTACCACCGAGCTACACTCCCAGCCCTGATGTCATTTTTGATTTCTTGGCCAGCTGCTTTGTTCCATCCCTACCTAGAAACATATAAAACACACACACGAGCACTTATGGATACCCATAATCAGTCACTGTTGTCATCAGATCAATTAAAACAAAACTGACAGGGGCTGGGGATTTAGCTCAGCAGCATAAGTGCCTGCCTTGTAAGCAGGCAGTCGGGGGTTCGATCCCTGGTACCGATAAAAACAAAAAAGATCAAAACAAAAACAAAACAAAAAAACTGACTAGATCACTCCTCAAATTGAAAAATTTTCAGTACTTTTCTGATAGCTATGGATAAAGTTCAAAGTAGACTACTTAGTTTGGCCTGCAGGGCTGCTCAGGATCTGACTCTTGCCTTCTCTCCAGCCTGATTGCACACTGGTCTTCAACATTTCCACTGTCTACTGGTTTACCTGAACCACATTCCAGACAGAGTGGTCTTTCTCAGTTCTGCACCCTGTTTTCTTGTTGGACCCTCTCCATGGAACACCTTCCATGTATCTGAAGTTCCTATTCAAACTTAAGGTTTAACCTTGCCTACCTCCCCTAGACAGATTAAGGGGGTCCCTGTGCCTTTATATACCTGGTCATTATTACTATATTGTGTTACAATGGGCTTATTGAGGGCAGAAAGATGATTTTGGTCATTCTCTGCCTCCAACACTCGCACTCTTGAAATGTTTTTGAATGAATCAGTTTGCAGAGTCTTATAACAGAAACATCAGTCCTCAAACATTTACTTAAGTGCCTGCACTATGGGAGCAGGAAGAGGTCACGTTGGGTTTGCATCCCCAGAAAACCTGCCTCCTGCATTTCTCATACTTTGGGAACTGATGATCTCAAGATATTTGCATTCAAAGAGAAACTGATGTTTGGGAGACAGTGACCTGTAAAGATCCCTTTACTCTAGCTGGACATTGGTGCCAAATCTCAGTGTAAGATCAGTGAGCCAGCCTGGGCTCACGAAGTGTGCTAATGTTTGGCAGCTGAGAGTTTTGATTGGAGTGATCACATGACTTCCTCCTAGGAGGAGGAGGAATAAAAGCAGATATGCAGAAGCAGCCCTGAAGCTGGAATCCTCTTGCAAAGAGGACAAGAGCTGGCACAAAAACCTTTCCTTTCTTGCTGTGTGGAAGCAAGAGGTATGGGGCATCAGGAGAAGCAGACTGTGTGCTTTACCCTAGTTGCCAGGTGGCACTCTGAACCTGGCTCTTTCTCCTCAGGAGCCAGGGGAAACTTGCCTCAGGCTAACTGCATGTGCTGAGGCTTGATTAGAACCCAGGAGAATCATTGAGAAGGCCTTGTTCTCTACCTCTCCTTTCCCCTTCCCTATCCCAGGCCGGGCCAGAATTTTTAATGTAGCTCTAAATCCAGAATCCCTTTTGTTTTTCACTTAAGCAATCATAATGTATATTATTCCTGAAAAAATATGCTTTGTGAAAACACTAACTTCACCTGTGCAGTGTAAGAATTAATAAAATCAGCATGTTCTGTTGTTGAGCCAGTGACTATTCCTTTATAGGATTGGGACAAATGTGCGTGTGTTTTCTTGTTAGTACTGGGGATTGAACCCAGGCTGTGTACAGAGCTACATCCCTTGTCCTTTTAAAATTTTATTTTTCATTTTGAGACAAGGTCTTACCAAGTTGCTAAGTTGCCAGGCTGGGCTTGAAATTGTGATTTTCTTGCCTCAGCCTCCCAGAGCGCTGGGATTATAGGTTTACACCTGGATAACAAATATATTCTCACTATTCTAATCTTTTTATACATCTCTTGTAATATCCAGGTACAACTATTAGGTTTTGTTTTCTTCTATTGAACTGAGCTGAGTAGTAAAGAGTTGAGAAAACGTGGCTAAGGGTAAAGGATGACATAAAATCTGACTTCAGAGTAATTTTTTTTTTAATCCAGCGAGCTGATAAATAAATGAAAAAATCTCTGACATTTTTGATTGCTGACAGCAGCCCAACTGTTTCACTTTATCAGAACTTCCTTAATTTTATAGATCTCAAATAATACTAATTTAAAAGAATTATTTTGGGGACAGGTTCTCCTTAAATTGCCCTGGCTGCGTTTGAATTTGTAATCCTCCATTCTCAGCCTCTCAAATGCTGGGATTATAGGCAAGTACCACACACCCAATTACATGGCTTTATCAGTTAAATTCCTTGTTCTTGAGCCTCTTAGAAGTGAAATAAATGAAAGAGGCCTGGGATAAATAGCTCCTTCCACGCTTCTTTTTGCGGCAGAGTCTCTGTGTAGTTCAGACTAGCCTTGAACTCAGCAATCCTCTGCTTCAGCCTCCCATGTGCCAGGATTACAGGCATGTGCCACCATACCCAGCCCTTTTAAACTTTTTTTTTCAATGAAAGATTTTGTCTTATTAGCAAGTAAGTTTGAAGACCATTGTCTTTAATCAGATTTCTGGAAAGAATATGTTGGAAGATACAAACATTTGGTTCAGCTAATATTTGAATGCTTACTGTGCTAATCCTGGAGGAGACTGCAGTGAAGTAGATGGATAGCATCCTTAGCTGTTGTTTAGCAGGAAAGGCAGATGTTAAACAATAACTGCAAAATTTAAGTGATAAACTTTCAAAAAGATAAAATAGAGTGTGAATGATGATATGTAGCAAGGGACTCTACCTGGTCTCTAGGACAGTGGTTATCAAACCTTACTGGCATTGGAGTAATTTGGAGGGCATTCCTAGTCTCCAGCCCTGCCCAGGATTCCTCAGAGATTTTTACCTGCTCAGATGGAAATCTCTATAGTCACTCTCCTTAGGGAGGCCAGTAAAAGTGTCAAGATCGTTCTGAGGAAGTCAAAGTTCTTTAACTTTCTTAGAACCCTAAAAATGGGAGCCAGTCTAGATGATGAGGGAGGCCAGAAGAGCAACAGTTTATAGCCGCAGAAGACAACAAAAGCAACAAGAGCAAAAAGGGAGGAGTAAGCCTCTTCTGTCTCTTCTGTTGTATGCAGGGTACCTGCCCTAGAGTGAGTGTAGCTCTCATACCCACAATTCCAGCACTAGTCAGTGAATCAATCACAAACTCTAGATTCAGCTGCCTCCATGACTGCATGAGGCTGTGAGGGGGATGTCTAGACACAAACCATAACAAGGAAATAGGCAGTTTACTTCTCACTTGAGCATGATATCCAGAGGGTACATTCTTATGTATAGACATTTTAACAAGGCAGAGTCAAACTGCCTCTGTTGGAATCCCAGTGTTATCTCCTAGCTGTCTGACCTTCAGGAAGTTTCATAATCCCTTTGTGACTCAATTTCTTTATCTGGAAAATGGGAATAAAAAGACTAGCAATCTAAGAGTGTTGTTTTGAGAATTAAATGAATTAATATTTGTAAGACACATAAGTAAATGAGTATATGAGTATACATAAGTAAAAATTACATAAAAATAGTATCTTCCATATGTATCTTTAATTTGATCTATAACTTAACAATATGCCATTCTTCTGATGTCAGGCTATTATTTCCTTCTCCTCTTCCTTTATTTATTACTGTTAGCCCATAATTAAAATTTTTTATATGTTCAGTTGAGCACATTTTTTTTTTTTGTCTTTTTCGTTTTTATCGGTACCAGGGATTGAACTCACGACCGCACACTTGAAAGGGAGGCACTTATGCCGCTGAGCTAAATCCCCAGCTCAAGCACATTTTTTTTGAAGTACGAACTTTTTCATTAGGCTTGTAAGTTGGTATTAATATTTATATTAATATTAACATTTTAAATATTTCTATTTTATGAATTTTATTGTAGCTGTTAAACGTTTAATGAAAGAAGCAGCAGAATTGAAAGATCCAACAGATCATTACCATGCGCAGCCTTTAGAGGTTAGTTCTCCATGTGGATTTTTATACTTTATTCTTTAAGACAAGTGTTTTAAATTGCTTTTTCATTGCTTGGAGTCGTTACAGATGTGTTTGATGTAGTTTATTGATCTCTTTCTCTGTATTTCACTAGATTTCAGAATTAGACATTAGATGAAGCAGATTTCTGTTGTAAGTGGGCCTCAGATACCATATTAGTACGAGGCCTCGAGTGTGAGGTAGGAAAAGTGGGAAGAATCCCAGATTCTGCAGTTTGGAAGACTCAGTCCCTTGAGAGGTCCCTGCAGCTCCTCTGAGCTTTTCGCACAAACATCTTTGCCCTTCTTCAATCTTCTCATTTGTAAAGGGTGGTATTTAAATGTGTTCAGTCAGGTTTTCATGATAATAGGATAAAAATGAGTAATATATGTACAAGCATTTTACAAATTGAAAAGTAATTGGTAACTGATGATATTAATAGCAAATCTTATTAGCAAATAGCTAATATTACTGACCATTTAAAACAAATTGTAAGGAATAATTTTTAAAGATTTGTTAAAATAACCCAAATTTATAATAATTGATTATATGATAATTACCACAAATTGGTATTCTTTCAAGAATTAACTTCTTTTTTTTTAAGAATTCTAATTTAATTAAATCTGTAACCTTGGTTATGAATGTATACAAATACTCAGTTTTTAATATATTTGCTTAAAAATATTTTACTTTTATGAGACATAAAACTTAGGTTAAACTGCTTTTATTTATACCTTTTATTCTTAAGACATTTTGTGCAGTAGAAACTAAGCAATAATATAAAATATTTGATTTTTCTCATCTGATATTTCTAGATTCATACTGATTAAAATAATCACACTTTTAAATGTTACCGATTCCTTGTCAATTATTGTTTTCACTTAGGATAATCTTTTTGAATGGCACTTCACAGTAAGAGGGCCCCCAGATTCTGATTTTGATGGAGGAGTTTATCATGGACGAATAGTACTGCCACCAGAGTATCCGATGAAACCACCAAGCATTATTCTCCTAACAGTAAGAATTCTTGGCTTTTTGGAAAACTTTGTGGAAAACTTGCAGTTTAACTCTTCTTGATGGCTATAAGACACAGTCAGATGCTTATTTTCATTAAGAAATAAAGTGGAGCATTGTTTTAATTTTGCCTTTGGAGTTTCCCAAAAAAAGAATTCCTGAGATACCAGTGCACCTGAGAAATGCTAGAGATACTAATGAATGCGTAAGTGTAGAATAGTTATGAAGAATCTATGAAGTAATTATGCAAAGTGCTAGGCATAATCTGGCACATGTTAAGTACTCAGTAATGTTAGTATATCCCATAGTCACACTGTCTCCTTTAACTTTCTACCAGCCCTGTTCTTTTCCTCTGTTTCTTCTCTTTTCAGTGAGAATGATGCCTACTTCACTGAATTGATATGGGATTGTTAGTATCTTTTGTATGTATAGCTCTTAGAATAGACTTGACACAGAATCCTCAGCTATTTTATTATAGTTTATATCTCAGAATTTCTATCCACCTTTACACATTTTTTTAAGTTTGTTTTTTGTTTTTTCAGACAGGGGATTGCTATTAGTTCAGGTTGTTCTCGAACTCATGGCAGTCCTCCTGCCTCAACCTCCTGAGTGCCAGGATTACCGGCATGCATCACCATACCTGGCACATTTTATTTTTACGTGAAAGAAAAATATTGATCCAAACCCCCTCTTAGTTAAGCTTTACTTTTCTCATTTTCTTTAATTTTTAGGAAGTGTAATTCTTCCCTACCCTTGAAAAACACACAAACAAAACACAAACACCTTCCTGTTTCCACTTTGAGCCGTTTCTGGTTTTCTCTTGGTAACCTCTAGGGTCTCCTTACTCTAGTGCAGCCTGTTGCAGTATGGCTTCCACACACAGTGCTCTGTCTACGAGTTTTGGAGAGCAGTCTGAGGAATCCCACTGCCTCTTCTCAGTCTTCATCCTGTTCCATCTAAGTTGCCTCACTCACAGAGGTAGCAAATGATGAATCAAAAGGTGTTTATCAGTGAATAGCGAGTGAATGTGGGCTTTTACCTACACTTGATACAATGGAAATAGCATCTGCTTTAATGCGAATAGACCTGGATTCAGATTAGCACTCTTTCCTTTGTACCATGTGTAGGTTATAAACTGTCTTTGAAACTCAGTTTTCTCATCTGTCAGAAGGAATTCTGTGTGGAAAATATGAGCATGCTGTAGAATTCCTGGCATATAGAAGTTGCTGCAAAGGATAAGGTGATCCGAGACTCATTAGCCCTGAGAGTAGGGCTGGGTTAGGGTCCTGGAGGCAGCCTGCTATGTCCAGAGTCACTTCATTTAGTTGCCAGACCCTGGTGGATACCAAGTAGCTTGGAGGGAGGTGACTGAGGAAAGTGGTTTGTGTGTTCTGGGGCTGGTAGGGGGTCATTGGCAGCAGCTCTACCAAGTACAGACATATTTCAGTAAACAGTGGTATGGTGAATACCATACCATAAAATCAGTGACAACTAGCACTACACTCTTGATATTCAGTATTGCACTCTTTCTGGTTTACTTCTTGACTTCTGAAAACCTTTTTCAATGTTTATTAAACAAAGATTTCATAAACAGGTGTCATATGCCCAGCCCTGTGGATGTAGCAGAGGATAAGTTAAAGTCTGAGGCCAACTGGAACATATTCTGACTTTATTCTTCTTCTTGTTCACCCTTTCTGTAAACCCAGCTCCATTTATTTATTTATTTAGGTGCCAGGGATCGAACTCATGACTGTGTGCTTGCAAGGCAGGTGCTTATTCTGCGGAGCTAAATCTCCAGCCCCTGCCCAGCTCCTTTTACAGAGCAATTTAGATTGATGTTTACTTTTTGTTTCAGTAAGGACAGCATTACTGGCTACCACTCAGTTTATGCCAGCAACAGGAGGTTCTCTAGATTACACACTTGAAAAAAGAGCAGCACTTTTCTAAGTGTAGATATTCTCTGTTTATCTTAAGATGTTCCTTTCTTATTTCTAGGGCAGTATATATATTTTTTCTTTTTCTGACATTACTATGCTTGCTACATTTCTCCTGCTGGCTAGACATCATTCATAGTTCTCCCACCAAGCCATCAGATCCAGCTTGAAATCATCATCTCTGCTGTACATCTTCTGTGTTCCTTACTAAATGGGGTCTTCCCTTTGAAAATCACTTTTATCTCAAAGCCTTATCCTCTATTCCATTATTTACCAATATCTAGTTACCCGACAATCAGTCCTTAGATTCTTAGCCTTTGATTTAGTTTCTCAGTTACTTTTCTCTCATTGCTGGGACAAAATACCTGACACCCAACATGAAGGAAGGAAAGTTTGCTTTAGCTTACTGTTTGAGGAAGTTTCAGTCCACAATCAGCTGGCCCAAGGCAGGATGTCATGGCACTGGGGCAATACTTCAAGGCAGCAGCCAACAAAAGCAGCCAGTGCAAAGTGGGGGAAGAGCAAGCCTCTTTTCCTCCCTTATGTCATATGCAGGAACACCCACCTACCACAGAGGTAGCACTCGCAAAATCTCTGTGCCCTCCTCTTGCACAGGGTGAAGGTATTTACAAAGTAAGGATCCTGGCTCTCTGCTGAGTCTGTTACTTAAATTTCTAAACTTCTCAAGTTTGACACAATGTATCAACCATAACAATTGTCTTCTCTTTAAGATCCTTAACTGAGCCTAGCTCTGTGCTGGGTGTAGAGGACATCAACATATCCTTCCTTCTATGTTAATTTCTTAGATTCTGGTTGTATAAATCAACTTCAAAAAGATGTGATACAACTTCTAAACTTAGCTTTTTTACTATTCATTCAACGTCCATCAAATATTTTGGAGTCTCTGTAAGAGCCCAAAAAATGTGTTTCCTTAGGGTTATATTTGTTTAAAAATTATCTTTAAAATTATTGTTCATATGTAAATATAAAATATATTTTGACTAGAAAGTATGAAACAGTAAACACACCTATATAATTTTTATTGTTTATTTCTAAGGCTAATGGACGATTTGAAGTCGGCAAGAAAATCTGTTTGAGCATCTCAGGACATCATCCTGAAACTTGGCAGCCTTCCTGGAGTAGTGAGTATTAGTGAATAGTGAATTTAAATCTTATAAAGCTTTAGTCAGTTCATAATAACAGATAAAAATACACTGTTGAGATTGAAGTTGTTTGGGATAAATAATTTGATATTATTGAATAATAATAAAAATGCTTTTTCATGTCTAGATTTTTGCCAGCATGTTAATACAACGCCCCTATTTGGACTTCTGTGAAAGCCTTTGAGTTTTTTGTTTTTTTTTTCTCTTTTCAGAGTAAATGCAGTTCCCTTTACAAAGCAACTTAAATTGCTGTTTACTTTTTTATTTCAGTAAGGACAGCGTTACTAGCCATCATTGGGTTTATGCCAACAAAAGGAGAGGGAGCCATAGGTTCTCTTGATTACACACCTGAAGAAAGAAGAGCACTTGCCAAAAAGTAAGTTGTGCATCTCATTGTTTATTAAGGTCTGAGTGCTTTTGTGCTCTGTCTCTTACTTTGTGAGTGATCGTGGCTCAGAATCTTACATCATTGTTGCTATTGGACAAATGCAATTCTACTGATTCCCCTGGGCTTACAACATTTCATGATTTTTTGGGGGGTGGTTCTTGGGGAGGGGGATTAATCCCAGGGCCTCACCAATGCTGGGCAAGTGGTTTTTTACTGAGTTCTACCCTCAGCCCTGCATCTCATTTTGTAAAAGCATTTGATAGTATTCCCGTAAGATGCACTTTACTATAGTGGGAGACATAGTCTCCTGGAAAGCATTTCTGGTTATTTGTATTACAGAAGAAAAAGAACCAAAGCGATTACTTTTATTTAGCTTTTCATGAGGTTATAAACTCCTTGAAAGTTGAGAGGGAATCCACTGTTATCTACAGTATCTCCTTCACTGCACCTTATGTAATAAACACTGGAATAAAGACTTCATCAGTTTGTGATTGCCCAGTGTTATACCTATGCTTTATTCCGGGTGTATTTTTTGTCTATATAACCAAGCTTAGTCATTCAATTTAAAGTCATCTTTCTTTTAATTAGTGCTGAGATTTAATTCTTGATTTTGATAATTTCCTAGTAGTGGAATCTATTGCCTGCCACCTTTTAGAAAAATTATGTTGATATAGCGCATTTTACCATAGCATAGCATAGCCCAGAGTCAGCCCTCCATTGATATTTATTAAATAGGAAGTGGGGAGTAGCTCATTGGTGGAATACTTGCCAGCACTGGATTTCTAACGCTAGGAAATAAAAAATAAAGTGGTATTGTAGTGTCTGAAGATTTGGTAGACACTCTGGCCTTACTAGCAACTATTATTTTTAAAACTTATTTAAAAAAAACACCCATTCCCAAATTCTGGAGACATAATCTACTTGAAACTCTTATTCACAGATTACAATATATACTTTGCATACACAGTATTTTTATTTTATTTTTCTGTGTTGACTTTCTCTCTAGATAATTTTATCCAGCTGAGTTCATGTACAGTGTTTTTAAAACATGAACTTGGTTTCTTACTGTCGTATATGTGTATATGTATATATTCATTTTCTGAGTTCTCGGTGTATGATAGGAGCCCTTTTAAAAGTGATTTTGCATTCAGCCATGGCGGCCTACTGTCCTTGTGGATAAACTATATATTAAGAATAAACAGTCTCCTGTAAGGTTCATCTGACTTCTCAGTTAAAAGTGAATATATTCTAAGAACGACAATACTGCTTCTGATGAAACAAGATATTTACTGTAAATACTAAATGTTACTTTCATAAATTTTTGTATCATTTTATAAAATTTTTCTGCTACTAAGATTTTTTTCATATATAGTAATTGTCTTAATGAATTAGTACATATACATATCAAATGTTGATCATTTTTACTCTTTTTCTCCCTTCCTTTACCCCTCTGCTTTTTGTATTTTATAAATTTAAATAGCATGTTCTTTGAGATGTTAGGCTTTTGAATTATCAATCTAGAAGCACCATAAAAAGAAGTTTTACTCTTTAATTTTATTAATTTTTGTGTGTGATGCTGGGGATTGAACTCATAACCTTGCACACGGTTAGGTAACTGTTCTACCCTGAGTTGCATTGTCAGCCCTAAAAACTTTTTTAAAAAAAAGAAGTTTAGCAGTGTAACTATGTGTTTCTATAGATTATTTATGTCTACTTTCAGTAATTAAAATCCTGGTAGTGCTTTTATGAAGTTTAGAGCAGTTTTGGATCCATTTGGAATACAAAGGTGAGCTGGACGTGGTGGTACATGCCTATAATCCCAGCACTCAGGACGGGGAGGCAGGAGGATTGTAGTGGTGAATTCAAGGCCAGCCTGGGCTACAGAGCAAGACCCTGTCTCAAAACAAAGAAACAAAAAAACAGAACAATGGAAATAGTGGAAAATTATATCTAAGGAAATAGATGAGTTAACCGGTTTAGCTTTAGGAGGATGTATTTAATATAATCAGTGATAGATTCATTCATAGTAGTTGCCACAAGTTCTTCAAAGTCTTCCAAGTTATACTGTTTAAATGAGTAGGATTTGTAAATATTTTCAAGAAATAATTGTCAAGTGTATATTTTGTGGCTTCTTTACTGCTTTATTTTTCTGCTAAAAGATTTAGTTTAAGTTTTGTTTGAGCTTTGTAATGGCCTTATATAAGCTTTAAATAGGCTTATTATGTGTGAATTTAAGGACAATGTCATTGACAATTTATACATTTTGTCACTATATAGATTTGAAATTTATTTTTCTTTTGGTAGTTTCTTGAAGGAAAAAAAGAAAAGAAAAGAAAGAAATCTAAGTGCCAGATCTTTTTTAAAATGCAAATTATTTCCTACCAGATCACAAGATTTCTGTTGTGAAGGCTGTGGCTCTGCCATGAAGGATGTCCTGTTGCCTTTAAAATCAGGAAGCGACTCAAGCCAGGCTGACCAAGAAGCCAAGGAACTTGCAAGACAAATCAGTTTTAAGGTACCATAAATTCCTAAAAAATTCTAATTATGTAGACTTTTTGCTTACTACTAAATTTTAGATAGAAAGCAATACAGTTTTACTGAAAGTGGTTTTACAAATAATTCTTATCACAAAACTCACAGTTTACACTCATGAAAGCATTACAGCATAGCAATTAAAACCTGACCTCTAGTATACAATGCCACGGTTCAGATTTCAACTTTGCATCTTATTAGTAGTGCAATATTAGACATATTACTTAATCATGACATGTTTTTTTCTCATCCATAAATAATAAGGATACCCATTCTGTTGGAATGTTTTAAGAATTAAGTGAGTTAATACAGGTAGTACATGTGTTACATTTAGATCTGCCCCATTTAGATTCTAGCTGTTATTAAATAGAAAATATAGATAAGAAACAAGAGTAACGTTATAAGCTAGATGTAGGCACAGTCTTATAATTCTAGCATTTGGGGGACTGAGACGAGGATTGCTGTAAATTCCAGAACAGACCGGGCTACATAGTGAGACCCTGTCTCTTAAAAAAAATTATCATCTCCCATAATTCCATTTTCCTAAAACAACACTTAACATTTTGCTATCTCTTCTTTTTATTCCTTTTCCTACATGTTTTACCCAAACGTAAGATTTATATAGTATTTTAATAATTTGAGTAGCTCTACTTATGGTTCTGGAATTTCATTAGCATTTAAAAAAACTACCAACCTGCATTGGGATGGTTCAGCATATGCAAATCAATAAATGTAATATACCATAAAATCACATGATCATCTCAATAGATGCAGAAAAACTTTTGATAAAGTCCAAAATTCATTCATGATAAAAATACTATAGAAAATTGGAGTAGATGGTTTTTACCTCAATCTGATAAAAGCCATCTATGTCAAACCAACAGCCAGAATCATACTAAATAGAAATAGACTGAAAGCTTCCAACCTAAAATCAGGAACAAGACAAAGATGCCATCTATCACCTATTCAGTATAGCTCTGTAAACATTAACCAGGACAATTAAACAAGAGAGAGAAATAAAAAGAATAAGGATAGGAAAGTAAGAAGTGAAATTACCATTATTCGCGGATGACGTGATATTCTACATAGAAGACCCCAAAACTCCACCAGAAGGCTTCTAGATTTAATAACCAAATTCAGTAGCATAGCTGGATACAAAGTCAACACTCAGAAATCGGTAGCATCCCTGTACACAAACAACAAACTCACTTAGAGAGAAATTAGGGAAACCACACCCTTCACAATAGCATCCAAAAAAATGAAATACTTAGGAATCAATCTAGCAAAGAAGGTAAAGGATTATACATTGAAAATTACAGTACACTGAAAAAAGGTATAGAAGAGGATATCAGAAAATGGAAAGATATTTCTTGTTCTTGGATAGAAGAACCAACATTGTGAAAATAGTTGTACTCCAAAAACTGTTACATAAATTTAATATAATTCTGATCAAAATACCATTAGCATACCTCACAGATCTAGAGAAAATATTCCTAAAATTCATCTGGAACCAGAAGAGACCTAAGCTAGCAAAAGCAGTTCTAGGCAACAAAGGCAAGGGAGGAGGCAGCCCTGACTTGAAGTTATACTATAAAATTGCTGTCATAAAATGAAAATAGTACTGGCAAAAAACAGACCTGAGGATCAGTGAAGCAGATTAGAAAATGCAAACACAACTATAAAAACACTCAGTCACTTTGTCTTTGACAAAGGGGCCATACATGTTCACTGGAAGAAAGACAGCCTCTTTAATAAAATGTGCTTGGAAAACCTGGCTTTTCCCATGCTGAAGACTAAAATTAGACCCACTTGTTAGGTGAAGAAATACAAATGGCAAACAAATATATGAAAAGATGTTCAATATAGTGGGGTGTGGTGGCTCACACCTGTAATCTCAGCACTCAGGAGACTGAGGCAGGAGGATTGTTGTAAGTTTGAGACCAGCCCGGATTACAAAGTGAGCTCAAGACCAGCCCGAGGTGCTACATTAAGCAATATGCTATCTCTTTCTCTTCTCCACTTCTCTATTCCCTGTCTGACCTTCTGGGTCCAGTTCTTGGAAGTTTTCCCTTCTGTTTTATTGTAATGACTGGAAGAGGATGTATAAATGTAGGTTGTAATTTCTTCCTTCACAGGAATAAGCCCAGATGTGTTTTGTTCATTAGAATTTTTCAGATTTTAGAAAATATATATACCATACAGTAACTTAACCTGCAGTAGAATGTCGAGCAGTACCTCATAATCAAACCCATAAATGTTTCTTCAGCAAACCAATCACTGTTTAGACTAATGCTGAATAAAGGCTATCCAAGGGGCCAAGAAGTATTGCTCAGTGGTAGAGCTCTTGTCTAGCAGGGTGAGGCCCTGGGTTTGATGTTCAACACTGCCAAAATTAAACAAAGAAACATTGCTAAGGACTGGTGATGTAGCTCAGTAGTGGAATGCTTGCCTAGCACATGTGACATACTTCATTTGACCCCCAGCACTGGAAAAAAAAGACTAGTTGTCCAATATCACCTCATATCTGGCTTTACCTAAAAATTGCCTAAGAAGCTTTTTATGAGAACTTTTTAGAATTATAGTCTGTGAACCATGATATTGATTTTGTTCCTAAGTAACAGCTCCTTAAGAACAGGGGTTCTCATGTTCTCTTTCTCTCTCTCTCTCTCTCTCTCTCTCTCTCTCTCTCTCTCTGTCTCTCGCTCTCGCTCTCCCTCTCCCTCTTCCTCTCTCCCTCCCTCTCCCTCTCTCTCTCTCTCTTTCGCTCTCATACCTACTTAGACACACAGATGCTAAAGGCTTTACTGATAGTAGTAATTCAAATAAATCCAAGAGCGGAAATTTAATGGTTGTGCATTCTTCTCTGGATTTCTTCTTGTAACACTGTTCTTGGGTATTTCTTGTTATAGGCAGAAGTCAATTCATCTGGAAAGAGTATTGCTGAGTCAGAGTTAAACCACTCTTTTTCACTAAATGACTTACAAGATAACATACCTACAACATTCCAGGATACCACGGCCAGCACCTCGGTATGGCTCTTACTTAATATATATGCATTTGTCTGTAATTCTCATTATTTGGAATAGAAGATGATTTCAGATCAAATAAAATTTTTGGTTTTTGAAAAGCTGGGTTTAGCCCAGCTCTAATGAACTATACAGTGGTAATTCAGTTCACAAACTCAGTTCTCTTTGCAGTTCTGGTTGTAAACCAAACTGAATGAGAACCGAGTGAAATTTCCCTATAAGGTCAGCACTGAACTTAACCATTGAAATTGATTCAGTTCTCATCCAACTCTGTTTGCATCCAGAATCATGGAAAGAATCAAGTTCGGGAACTGACATATCCCTGCATTATCTTAAACAATTCATTCAAATTTCCTGGGTTTCAATTTTCTTAATTTTTAAGTCCTGTTGTCCCTCTAGAATTCTATGATTTCTTGAGAAGTTATTTTAATATAGTGCTAGACTCTGAATAAATCAAATATATTAGCCACTTACTAAATGAACAATATATCCTTAGCAGGTTTGCCTCGGACTTGCTCTGCTCAGTACACAAGCTACTAGCTACATGTGACTCAGTTCTCATTTAAATTAATAAAAATCAAGTGGAATTCAAAACTTAATTCCTTAGTCACATGAGTTACATTTCAAGTCTCCATAGCCACGTTGTGGCTAGTGGCTGTCATCTGCATAAGTATAGACACAGAACTTCACTGTCGCTGCACAGCCCTTATCAGACCATGGTCTGTCCCTTGCACATAGTGACCAAAAGTAATTATTGAATGAAAGAATGAATGCTGTGGGTGTTGCTAGTCATTCACTGACCTATTGTCTTAAAAAACTGGGGGGGCCTTTAAAAAGTTCAACTGGACTGGTGCTAAATAGGATCACAAGGAAAACCAGTGTCTTTCCTTTCTACATGAAAAAGATAAATAGAAATGCTTTGGGGTTTTTCTAATAAAATATTGTATTATTAGGCAGTCATATCTATTGGTAGATATCTTTTTTCTCTCTGATTTATAGAGGATTTTAGAAGGTCAGAAAAATTAAAAATGAAGCTGGGAAAAAGCAGGTTTTCCCTTTTCCCAGGGGTAATTTACAATAAGTGAACTGAGTAGTATTGAGTGGCTTTTTCCTTTTTAGGGTGAGCTGAAAAGAGAAAAAGTAGGTTGGAGAAAAACAGAGGCAAGAGGCCTCTAAGGAAATACTATGCTAGGGAGAGAGGACTGAAGATGAAGGTGTGGGGGAAGGTATGTGGGCGGGTTTCAGTTGCCTTTACATGATCCCAAAGCAGTTGTATAAATGCAGAGGAACATAATGAATTGATTTTTAAATAGGCTGATTATAATTTGAAATGTTAAACTTTCAGATTATTTTTCATTATAAGTATTCTGTTTTTTATAAAGTTTTTGTTTGCAATAGAGCCATTCTGGGTTGGGGATGTAGCTCAGTGGTAGAGCACTTGCCTAGCATGAGCAAGGCTTTGAGTTTCATCCCCGGTATCACAAAGTGCACACACACACAAAGAGAGCCATTCTATTATGAAGATGAAGGTGGTAATCTTTAACCTATTAGGACAGTCTCCTAATATTTGTGATGACATATCTAAATCTTTTGCCGGAGATATAGCTCAGTGGCACAAACGCCTGCCTGACAAGTGTGAGGTCATGAGTTTGCTCTCTGGTACTATAAATAAAATGAATGAATGGACATGCTAAATCTGTCTTTCATCTATTTTAAATCTATGTCAAGTATTCTTTTTACATATTCAAGTTATATTTACCAATTACATTTTATTTTGTAATTAATTCTTGCCTAACTTGTGTTCCAGAATGTAAGTTCCTTAAGAGTGAGGGTACCTTTTGACCACTGTATCCCCAGTGCCTGGCTTAGTGCCTTGTATATAGCAGGTGATCATTATATATTTGTTGAATGAATGAGTAAATCTTAGGATTGGTAATTTAAAATAATACTAGGAATATAGGTAAAGAAGTCAAGAAGTATAAGTCAACTGCAGAACTGTCATTATTATAGTAGTATACTTAATTTTCATGTACATAAAACAGTTCTTTTTCATAGATACAGTTCACTAATTGAGACTAATTTTGGTTAAAATATGCATAAGTAATCAATTGTCTACAATTTCAAGTGACTTAATTACATTTGCATATAAACTGTCTCAAAATGTGATTATGTAATTTGATCACCCTGGTTTTGGGTAGGGGTAGCTGTTTTATATGCAAGTGTAATATAAATTCACTGAAATGTTATACATCAAATCCCAGATAAGCTACATTTTTTTTTTTCCTTTAGCCTTGAGGGGGCGAGAGATTGTGGAAAGTCTAAACACAGCAGATAACATCAGGCCATCTGTTGGTTTTTGAGACAGATTTTTTAGCTATGTATAAATAGAAAAATAACCAATAGTAGCTTTATGTTCTTATAGTTTAACAGATTTTCCTCTGTTCCTAGGGATTGAGGCTCTGAATAAGCCATTCCATTTTATAATAAAAACCAATACAAAACTCTCTCACAGATGCTAGTTATTTAGGTTATTATAGAAAAATTGGCATATATTGCTAGGGAATTAATTGTAAGTAGAATTTTTCTAAATAAAAAACATTTAACAAAATAAAAAGCATTGTAATATCTCCAAATTTTAGTAATGTGTCATCCAAAAGGCATGTGAAATGTAGGAGTCTAATTAAAACATATATAAATAAATATTTCCATTAATTACAAGTACTACAATATTACCTACAGTCAATATTTTGTGGACCTGTTTTTCTAAAACCAAGACCAAAAATCTAAGTCAATTTCCATTTTTTTGGAACCTTAGTCTAGATGCTTCCAAATAATAAGCAATTGTGTATTTTAAGCACTTTGTATCATTATCCCATTTAATCCTCACAGCTGCTGAATTGGATATTATCCTTACTGTACAGATGAGGAGCTAAAATTTGGTTAAATAACTTGCGTAGGTTTACACATCTACTAAAGTGGCAAAGCCAGCCTGATAATGGTAAGGCTCCCTGTTTTGGTCAAGTTTATAGACAGGATAATGTTTCCCCCTGACACTTTTAGAAAAGCAAAAACTTTAATCTGAAACAATCTCTTATGCTAATTTTTGAATTGGTATTACCACCATTGTTTTTGTTGTTGTTGTTGTTGTTGTTGTTGTTTTTCCCCTGAGGAACCTCTTTCCCTTTAAGTTGTGAATGGATTGGCTCTCTTCAGAACTTTATGTTCTTGGCAGAGCAATCAGAAGAATAGGAGGTTTCTACTGGAATGTTTCTTACTGGCTGCCATAACTCAGCTAAACTCATTGAGTATTTGCTGACTCACCTTATGACACTTGTGACAATGTGTGATTCATAAGATGCCAGGCTGCATTTTCACTCTTTAGGAAGCAGATTGCCCCTTGGAGTCTTGGGTTATGGATGCCCAAGTCCATGCTCCAATCCAGCAGCAGCGTGAACTTTTATTTCTTTTTTTTTTTTGTCTTTTTCGTTTTTATCGGTACCAGGGATCGAACTCACGACTGCCTGCTTGCAAGGCAGGCGCTTATGCCGCTGAGCTAAATCCCCAGCCCCGTGAACTTTTATTTCTAACCCAAAGTCAGTAGTTCCTTATTGTATTAGAGGTCACTACATTTGAGTGACTACAAAAAGTAGTTTTAAAAAGTTCAGATTTAGCTCTTTTAATGTTGAGATCAATATCAAATTTAAAATGGAAATTCTTTTGCAGATAATTTAGGTCAGCAGATTTTTCCCCTAATATTTAAAGCTGGAGCCAGTACAAAGCTCATCCTCTTACCTTTAAGAACAGTATTTGAATTATATTGTTCCAGATATTTAAATTTCCTCTAATGGAAACTATTCTTAAAGTGTTTTGAACTTAATATATGTTATTCTGAATAAAACATGCATTTTTATTTTTGTTTGAAAGAATGTATACTAGCAATAATGTAGAGCAAGTGTACATTTTTTTCAATGAAAGAGTGAAAGGCCATTGAGTTCTTACAGATAGGGTTAAGGTGTCTCTATAAACAATATGGAACTCATATTTTACATAGCTTCTTTGAATGTATCCTCACTATTTGTCTTATCGCTGTGCCACATTTAAGATTGAAGCATTTACGGGCAGAAACATTTTAGCTGTGCTCTGACCACTCTCGAAAGTAGCAGTGAGTGTGTCAAAGTAGAGGCTACACTGAGCCGCACCTCACCCCTCGGCATTGTTAGATACGCCCCGGGAACTCTTGACGTAAGACATCCAGTACTAAGTAAGTAAGTTCAGTTCACTAATCAGTAATCGTGAGAAAGGGTAAGCCTGGCTTGAAAACCACATCTAAAATTTTTATAATATTGCTATGAAAAAATTTGTGATTTGAAATTACTTCCTGTGCCCTGTTACAGTTAGCGAAGTACATTGCTATAGTAAAGTTATACTGGAAGAAACCTGGATCATGAAAGGTACACTATTGAGAGTTGCTTGTTTTGCCATTTAAAATGTGTAATTTCCACCAGAAAGTGGAAATCAAATTATTTCCCTCGTCAGATCTCCTAAGAGAAGTGCCAGATGCTTAGTGCTACTGCTAGAATTATATCTGAGGAAAAGCTAGGTAAGGGTGGCGGGCTACTCTGCTGCTGGTAGATTCCGTCTCTGCCTCGCGGGCACTCAGAGTAGGCTGTGGTGTTTGCTTCCTCAGCAGGGTGAGATGCTTGCCTCAGCATTTACATAATTCGTGGTAGTTTTTGTCCTCAGTCATATTTGACATACTGAAATTCCTTGTATTCTTGAATAGATAAGTATATATACAAATTTTATGTGCCAATTTCAAGCAAAATTTCTTAAAATTTTGTAGTATGGAGTCCAGAATCCCTCAGCAGCACCCTTTGAACAACCTACCCAACCTGCAGCTAAGAATACCTCCATGAGCCCTCGACAGCGCCGGGCCCAACAGCAGAGTCAAAGAAGGTCATCCCTGTCACCAGATGTAATACAGGGCCAGCAGCCAAGGGACAACCATACGGATCATGGTGGATCAGCTGTACTGATTGTCATCCTGACTTTGGCATTGGCAGCTCTTATATTCCGACGAATATATATGGCCAATGAATACATATTTGACTTTGAGTTATAATATTATTGTTTTGTGAATTAAGAGCTGTGACTCAGCTGCTTCATTAAACATTCTGCATTGGGTATAATCTAAGAATTGTTTACAGAGACATTATTTTGTATCTACCCTTCATTCCTCTTTTGATCTTTATAAATTCAATATAAATTTAGCTAGATGTTCAGACCATGCCAACCACTGTGTCCTGCTTGGTTTAAAAGACAGGAATTCAGCTTATCTCACTATCCGATATGCTTTACAAGGAAATAACTTCCTGTTATTTCTCATGCCTCAGTTTTTTTTCTTTAAATTTGCAAGGTGTTTCTGTATAGTTCTTTGAAATTTTCAGATAAAAGATGGTATTTTAAGTTTTTATGAGTATTATTAGTTGCTCATTTATTGAGTACTCCTAGTTTGGTACAGTGAATATAGGGAGAGAAGAATTGAAAAGGGAAAAAGCAAAACTCAAGTAGCTTCTTTTAAAGTGTCATCCATAGAAGATACATTGGAACTGCCCATTCTGTGACTTTGTGTTCTAAATAACTTTATTTTGGTTAAATATTTCTGAGGAAATGAGATCACATTTTTATTATTGGACATTACTTGAAGAGGAAGTTCTTTGTAACCACTTTGATTTGCTATTATCATCCCTCTCTCCAGCATGTACACAGATTAAAGAGAAAAAAAAAAGAGATGTCATTCATAGATCTTTGTCTCAAGGAAGAAAGAATCCAAGTCAGAAAATTGCTAGATTTTCTTCTAGAAGTTAAAAGGGAGGATCTTAGGATTTGAATGCTTGCTGTGCTTTAAAGTGTGTCTTTTGAGATGTATTATATGCCTAGCTTTGTAATCACAATAAATTTTAATTATTCCAGGAATATACATAATGTACCATTTCATGTATTATTTTGATAGAAAAGCTGGGGCTGGGGATTTAGTTCAGCGGCATAAGTGCCTGCCTTGCAAGCGCACAGTCATGAGTTCGATTCCCAGTACTGACAAAAAAGAAAAGCTCAGGGCCCAAGAAGTAGTATAGGAATTAGAAAATCCTTTACTCAGAATTGTCTACTTAATCAAAGCCCAAGAAGGATTTTCAGTGAAACAAATCAATATCTCAGTGCTCTCCAGCTCTACTTACGCTAGTAAGGTAATTTTATCACTACCATGTTCGTGGAGACCATATAATCACAGAAAACATTGTCATCAGCATACTCAGTGGCATTCGGATGTTACTAATGATTTAATTTTTAAATATAAGCAGTCTCCAGCTTTCATTTAGAAATGTGTTTATGAGTTCATTTTCTTTTTATAACTCAGTGTAAATGAAATTGAGGTTTTAGAACAGTCTATGAAAATTATCTTGAATAGTTTACGTTGGGGTTGGCATAAAGCCTTCTGTGATTTTTACTGAAATTATGGGCAAGAGAAAAATAATTCATAAAATTATTTTAAAACCAAAGTTAATTGTTATTAAAATTTGGATCTATTAACCATCAGACATAATTTCTATTTTCATTTGATAGCCAGCGTTCTATTATTTGTGCATCTAAAATTAATACATATTATTTACTGTTATATACATAGAATTGTCTTAAACTTAATAATTTAGCATTTTAAAGTTGTTCACAGGTTGTTTCTGTTATATTTATAGCTGAAGCTAGAAAATTTTAAAAAGCCCAAGGACTTTATGAAGAACTCATGTCAGGAAAGTTATATGATACCATTTTATAACCTTATTGCCATGAGAAAATGCATCCTGAGGTCTTAGTTCATGACACAAGCTATTAGACATATTAGAAGTCACTGACCCGGGGCTGGAGATTTAGCTCAGCGGCATAAGTGCCTGCCTTGCAAGCAGGCAGTCGTGAGTTCGATCCCTGGTACCGATAAAAAAAAACCGAAAAAGACAAAAAAAGAAATAAAAAAAAAAAAGAAGTCACTCATTGTTACCTGAGGACGACATCCTCATGTCCGCAACCTAAGCTGAGATTGTGTGCTAGAAAGTCTTCCTTCCATTTAATGCTCTAGTCAATTTGAGACAGCCTCTGGATCTATGTGCTCTTGCTGCATGCTCCCATGAGGTATGCCTGCAGTTTATAATTAAGCACTGTATAGATCTTTTAATCTGATCCTCTTGTCTTCCCCCACTCATATGATAAATGGGTGCCTGTTTGATTGTGTTGGCATTTATAGCACCTGATCATATGTCTGAAAGTGGCACATCTTACTTTCACCTCATGTTGCTTAAAGATCTTTAAATTATCACTTTGACCCTTGTTGTGGGGCTAAGAAGCCCTTGTTAACTTTGATCTAGGGCCATTTTAATCGAAACTCCCCTGAAAGGTCCTTTTCAGAAAACTATTATTTTTAAAGCCCCACTTTAATCCGTTAATTCCAGCATAAGCCCAAACTGGATGTATAATCTGGTAGGTGAAGGCTTAGAATTCCTTATTGCCCCAATTCTTAAATTTAGGTAATTCATGGCTTTTTCTTTGGCACCATAATAATGACTACTGATCAAGACAGTTAAAATAGCATGCTTCCAGAACACATGTTTCATCTGTAACTGTTTAAGCCAATGAACCTTTCAGATTTTATGGAATGTGGGGCTTTTATGAGTACTTTGTTTCCATACTGCTTATTGTATTGCAATAAATGAATTTCATCAAAATTCCCAATTTTTAAAAAACTTTACAAGTTTATTATTTTGACTATAGAAATACAACATTTCTTATTTCAGGCAAATAACTTTTTTTTTAAAGAGGGTAAAATTGAACACAACAGAACAAAACAAAACATAAGAAAGCAATGTAAGAGACATAAATTTCAAAGCAAGATGATCAGAGTTCTTCACTATATATTGTCTGTTTCTTCCAAATAGTTGACCATATCTTCACATACAGAGAATTCACATGAAACAACATAGTATAGAACTGATCTGAACAAGATGAGGAAGGTGTTTTAGGTCTTCAACATCAGACAACAGGGAATTCCCAATGGCTGGCACTGTGTCTCTCATTCTGTTCAAAATAGCTGTCCATACCTTCATGTATATTAAGATTAAACAAAACAAAACAGGCTAAAATCACTCTGAACAAAGAATTATAGTACTGGTGGATTTCACATCATGACACTACGGGACCAGCACTGGATACTGTAGTGTCTCGCTTTCTTCAAAGTAGTTAATCATTTCATCATGAACTGTTCATTGTTCTGTGCATGCATGAGTCTCTGCATGTATTTCTATCTTTTCTGTATTAGAGGGAGAAACAAAAAACAAAATAGTCCTATACAAACATGCTTTACTTGATTAAATATTTCACTTTTGAGCTCATCTATGAGTTCCCGAAGATTCTGCTGTATGTCCACTGATGCCGTGTCTGATATTGCATGTTTGCTGCTTTCAGTTTCTTGTACTTACGCCTCCTGCATCAGTGTTCTCAGGGCTGGGGGCTGGAGACTTTTATTTCTTTCTCTTGTTATGTTTTTGGTTTCTTCCATACAGGTGTATAGTGGAGGCTTTCCTTGTTGGTTATGGTTCTTCTGAAGCACGCGGGTAGGGTTTTCTGCCCTCTTCAGTTTGCTGTTGGTCCTTGAGGTGCAAACAGGAGCGGCATATGCTGGCCCCTCCCCTCTAGGTCAGTCAACCTTCGGGGGCCTTCACTGTTAGTTTGTGCTGCACTTATGGAATTGGTTTGGGATGACTTACTGGGTCCTAGCCAGGGGCATGACCCGGGTCAAGCACATCCCACCAATCTGGTCTGGGACGGGAACATCCCACTGAAGTCATTGCTGTTCCTTACTCCTGCCGGTCCTGCCCGTTTTCAGGATGTCATCCAGTTGGTCTCCCCTTTCCCGTGGGAGGGTCTTATTCCCAGCACTCACCGTGGGTCAGTGCAGGTACCTTGCCAGCTCTGTTCTCCGCTGGGCTTGCCCACCTCCAACCTCAGCATGGCCGTGGCTTGGGCGCGTCGCAGCATTGGGAGTTCAGGCACCCCAGCCAGAGCACCATGGCCGCTAATCTTAGCTGCTCCAATCGTAGCCCCGGGACTGCATGTTTGAGCAGCAATTTTCCCTTTAGTTTCTTCCTGGGTTGAGAGGATCCATCTCCCTCTGTTCAGACCTCTCCACAGTGTTTTATTCCTCCTTCTAAGTTGTCTGTCTCAGGGAGCCTCTGTATTCTGCTGCTTATAATCCGCCATCTTTAGCTCCTCCAGCAAATAACTCTTAATTTGGGTTTATGAATAAATATTCTGATATCTGAAGCTCCCCATTTTTATAGGTCAGAATCAGCAAAAAAGAAAGTAAACCTCATGCCCTTGGACTTGAGCAGACACCTACGGTGAAGTACTAAAAAACCTTCGTTGCTTTATTTCTTGCAAGTACTAATAATGTATGTAACGTGACTGTGTTTAGTGAACTGGACATGAACCAAAAATACTGTGCACATTAATTTATGCACCATGGGGGCCCTTGCAGGATCTAAAGTATCTGGAATGTAAAAAAGTCAACTATTGCTTAAAAACGGCATCTGGGCATGATTCTGGTGTTCTTTTTTTACTTTTTCTTTTGTCTTTTTTCCTTTTTATTGGGGATTGGGTACCAGGGATCAAACTCACGACTGCCTGCTTGCAAGGCAGGCACTTATGCTGCTGAACTAAATCCCCAGCCCCTGATTCTGGTGTTCTAGATAGTCCTTTACAGACTTGTTCTGAACAGAAGAAAGGAAAAAAAATCTTTTGAACAAAGTCTACCAAAAAACAAAACAAAACAAAAACTTTTAAAAGTTGTATCTCATCAGTGAACCTTTGAAAGGAATCCTTTACGTTTCTGGGCTAGCAGGGTAACTCAAAGGTAGAGCTCTTGCCTATCGTGTGTGAGTGTGTGAGGCCTTTGTTAACAAACAGTTCACCCCTGGCAAATTCCAATGAGAGGCTGGATTTGGGAATCACTACATCCTTTCCACTCCCAAGCACCTGTGTAACCCATTGTAATTTGGCTCCCCACCACATCTTAAAACCCAAACCATACCTGCTGAGGTCAGAAATGCCGTTCCACTTGCCAGATCCAATTACCTATTTCCTGAATTCGTGTTTCTTGACTTCCTCATAGTGCTGACTATTGACTACCCCTGAGCCCTCTTCCCGAAACTCTCCTTGGTTTCCAGGGCCCGCTTCTTTGCTGGTCTTTTCATGTTTTTGCTCTCGTTTCCTGATCCATTCTTTAGAGTCTCTGGGATCCTGTGCTTGGACTTGGGATTCTTCTATGTCCAGGAAGATCTCACTCTTTCCTGGGGTTAAACTATGGCCACATTCTAATGGCTTCAAGTCTACTTTCCAATCCAGATGTTTTTCTTGAGTTCCAGCCTCATATTCCAGCTGCCTTTTGGCCATCTGGAGGTTTAGTGAGCCCAAAAACTCCACAAGTCCAAATTTATTTCATTTCTCCACCAAATTTGCCCACCCCTAATGGATAACAGTTAATGATAGTGCCCTCCTACTAATCCTCCAGGCCCACCTCCAAACTCGAAGACTTTTTTTTTATATTGGGGATTGAACCACGGCCTTACACACAGTGGGCAAGTGCTCGGCCACCGAGCTACATCCTTAGTCCTCCAAAGCAGAATTCATGATGTCATCATTGGCGTTTCTTTCTCATCCGTTCACCTCCCAGAGTCACCAGATGTATTCCACTTCAGAAGTAACTTGGCCACCTCATTTCTCTTCCTGTCACTTTTCCTTCTGTCCTGCTTTACTCACAGAAAGAACTCATCCTGGTGTTTTTCCTGTTTGGTTATTATGTTTTACACTGATCCTTATTAGGAATTCCTTAAAAAATAAAATGGATTGTGTCATTTTTCTTTGCTGCTTTGGCTCTTTCTTCCCTACATAATAAAACCCCAAGTCTATTTCTTTTTTAGCTCTCCCTTCTCCTGACCTCTGATCTCCATTTCCCTGTTTCTACTACATTCCTCTCTGCCAGCAAACAGCAGCCAAGCAAGAAGTAATTTTAAACCTACCACATTCTGTTCAGTAGATTAAACATAACCACATATATCTCTACACTTTTACTATCTGCAATTCTGTATCACAGGAGAGGAATCAAACCCAGTTTATTATGTTTGTCTATATACATTTCAGAGTCACAGACCAAAGTAAATTTAATACTCCTGATAGGAAAAAGAGCTTGCATAATGATGAATTCTCTTTTGGATTATGCTATTCTGCAATATCAAGATGTGTTTTATGCTTTGATATGATGTTCTCACTGAGATAACAAAAACCAGGTGTATATTTGGGAGATAGCAGTAAATTTTGGCCATAGGAAAAATACATTTACTTAGATCAAAAATAAAGCAACTCCTTGAAAATGGGTCATTTGTGTGCTTTCTCAGCATTTCCTGAACACGTTCATGTACTCTTCTCCATGAGCAAACCCATCTGGAACCCATGCTGACTCTCTGCTGGATGTGACAGACTGGTTTAATGCAGAGAGATGGATTAATGATCTCAGCAAAAGAGCTGGCATGTTCGAGAGATTTATTTTTTTTTTATATAACAGTTTTAGCCAAAGCCGTTCTAGGGTTCAGTGGAAGCAGTTTCCCAGGAGGGCAAACTTCTTGAGTAATGGCCAATCTCTGAGCAGCAGGCAGGGCAAAGCTAGTGCTTGTGTCATGGCCTGGTGGGTGGAGCTTGGGGTGGGAAATCCATCAGTATCAAATAGTAACCCCAGAAAGTCGGCCTTGCCAACCATCTCCTCACCGATCCTCCGAGCAGCACCCACTAGAGGCTGAACCAATGGTCAAGCCACGGGGGATTTGCCCCTCAGGAGGTTACTGGAAAGCAGCCTATTGCATCATAGACACCCACAAAATGCCTTATTTTACAAGACTCATTCTGTTTTTGTTTTGCTTGATGGTTCTTGTGGAGAGCCGAAAACCCAGGAGGAAGAGATGGACAGGACACCTGGAAATGTCCAAGCCAAGGTAAGGTTGTGGTGGGAAAGGAGAAGCCCGGTTTTGGAGCAGCAGCAGCCGCAGCACAGTGGGACAGTCCCAAGAGGGCTGGAGGACATCCTTAAATGTCCTACTAGAATGTGTTTTCCAGCTAGAGGTAGAGGGACCCCTTCCTCTCCAGAGCTGTCATTAAGCACCAGGAGAGAAGCTAGACAAGGCTGAGCATGTATAGCCAAAGAATTTTGCCAGGATTTTGAGGTAAGGCAGATAGTTGAAGACTAACTAGAGGGTTAGACTATTACTCCATTTCTCAGTATTGCATTTTGGAAAAGACCACTAGAGGCTTGCTGAATAATTACATTCAAGATAGTTAGGGAGACTTGTATATAGGAATTCAACTTGTATTAAGAAAAAGTGTAAGGCTGGGGGTGCAGTCAGTGGCAGACTGCCTGCTTGCCATGTGGGAGGCCCTAGGTTCAATCCCCAGCACCACAGAAAAAGAGAAAAGAAAAAATGTAGCCAGGAACAGTTTTCTATAAAATATTTGATAAGGAATAATTTATATTGATTTTGGGTTTTATTTTACTGTTTTGAATTTATAAAAAAGTATTTGAAATTTTCCAGATTATCAGAAATGTTGTGTGGGCAACAATCAATGGCATTTAATAGATGTAATGGAGACATTTCCAAGAAATACTGATTAGAATCAGAATTTACATTCAAAATCACTACTCTTCAGGTCTTAGTTCCGTAGTAAGTTTGTTTCAAACTGATGTACAGAACGTGATACTACAAACTGAGGCAGGCACAAGGACTGTTAGGCATGAAAAAGAAAAGAACAAGAAGCTATGATATAAACATTATGTGTGAAATGTTACCCCACTGTTTTCCATTCTTAAAAATGAGTGAACTACTGGTTTTGAATATAAACTAGTGTCTTTGTGTGTGTGTGTGTGTGTGTGTGTGGTACTCGGGATAGGATTTAGGGCCTCCCGTATGCAAGTGCTCTAGGTAAATACTCTACCATTGAACTACACCTCAGTTCTGAAGTTAGTGTCTTAAGGCACATTCTGTAGGTCAGCGGTCATGTAACACTCTTTTGAAACTATGACTCCAATATATCTCTATCTACTTATTAATTATATATATTTACTATTATAAAAATGCACATTGAAGCTTTATTGCTTATTTTTTTTAAAAAACCCATAAATATAAATAATAATTAGAATCTCTATTTCTGGAACTCCAGTAGAGATGTAAATATTGTAAGGCTGAATCACACTGTAGAAACCAGGATCAAAATCCCCCAGAATGCTGGAAAGAGACACTGCACTGGAGGACTTAACCTGGTGATGTGGCCAGAATCATAGGCTCACAGTGGGAGGGATCTAAGAGGCATCTGATCCACAATTCTCCTGAGCTCTAATTTTGGGAAATGTGAGTAAAGGTTGTATGACAAGGGGGTTCTATAGCCAAAGGAGACCAGGAGACATTGGTTTAGGCCATTTTAAATAGGTGGCCTTTGTAGAAGTTCTTTACAGCAGAACTTCTAGCACCTTGGTTCTACAACTAGGCGAGGTAAACCTTGAAGAGGAGGACAAATTATTCAGTATTTCTCAAAAACAGGCACAATGCTTATCTTGTTGGACTCCTATCCCAGGGAGCATATGGCGGGCAACTGCCCAAACACAGTCAAGTTACAAAGCATAAACAGTGGCTCAGGGCCTGAGTGAATCACAGGGCTTGCTCATGGCTCTACAGGACTGGTTCTTGGTTTACTCAGCCTGGAGGAAAGAGGTATATGAAAATGTCTCTTCCTTGAATGGGTGCTGGGGTTCACATGAACTCCTGGGAACCCTAATGAACCAGTCTCTGCAGCTGGGGCCATCATAGTGTTTTTACCTTTCAGAAGACCCAGAGTCTCATCTTCTAGATGTTTGTATGGGGACATTGGGACAACTTGAATCTGACTCACGGTGAGAAGAATTTCTTGGAAGTCATCCCGAGAGGTATTAAAGTGGGAAAAAGTAAACATACAATTCAAAGAATACAAGATCATTCTTCAGCTGAGGCTGGGAGGCAGGCTAGAAACTGTGGCTTTGAGAAAAATTCCAACTAAGCATTACACCAGTTTTCAAAAGTGCTTTCACTATTTAATCTATGCACAGAGTTAAAAACTATACTAATAAATAGGCATAAAATGACCTAACTCTTTTTGCTGATAGTCTTAGAATACTTCCTACAAGTCCTGTTCACACACAAAGACGTATGTACAGTAGTACACTCAAGTCACATACCACCCACTCATATATATATATGACACACAGTTCCTCACACATGGTCACACACACAGCCCACCACATATGACACGTGATCACATCCCACACTCTTCAAGGACCTCTTCTAGCCTATCAGCCTTCCCTGCATTGTCCAGGCATATATACTCATACAAAATTATTCTGTCCAAGCTGGGCATGGTGGCACATGCCTGTAATCCCAGCACTAGGGAGGCTGAGGCAGCCAGCCTGGGTTACATAGCAAGGCCAAAGCCATGCTGAATTTCATGGTGAGATGCTGTCTCAAAAAAAAAAAAAATCCAGAAGTGGCTTTTTCAAAAATTGTATTGGGTTTCCCGATATTTTGTGTCTGTGTGTATTTTTTTTTAATCTTTCACTGATACTTTATATACTTGCTAAAGATTCTGTGAGGTCCTGAATTTATTTTTTTGTCTTTTTGAAACAGGGTCTCACTATGCAGTTCAGGCTGGCCTTGAGCTCACTTTGTAGCCCAGGCTGTTCTTGAACTTGCAAGGATCCTCCTGCCTCAGCCTCCCAAGTGCTGGGATTGCAGGCGAGAGCCACCAGCAGGCTGTCTGTGGTATTTAATGGCTTCCAAGCAAGTCTGCTTTCTCTCAGCAGTTTTCCTCTGGTTTTTCTGCTTCTCGGTCTCTCTGCTTTGCCCCGGTTCCTCCCAGTCTGCTTCCCATTTGGCCTCCTACTTCACGATGATTTCATTTTCTGTGGAGGCCTCTTTTCCCTTTAATATCTGAAAAATAAACCAAATGCCCAGCCGGCTGTGAATCAGCCTGGAGGCTCCCGTTTCTCCATTTGCTGCCCCTCTGCTGCGCCTGGCCTCAGCCCTCTTCTTGGTTTGTATGATGATTCTCTCACGCTGGACCAAGGAGCAGCTTTGCTCTGCTGCCCATTACAGAAGGTTCTGGAAAGGAGAAGAATGTGAGGGGTTAAGGAAACTAGCTTTGGGCCTGTTTCCGTCCTCTGGTCATGCAGCGTGTTTCCTATTTCTGACCTTGAGTTTCTCTGGCTGAAGACGAGGAGCAGGCATGGGGTGAGGCGTACCTAACGGTGGCCACAGCAGCAGAGCAGGGTGTGATCACTGCTCTTGCAAATAAACGATACTGTGACTCTAGCCTTGCTTCCAGAGACACAGAGAACACAATCTCTTTTGTTACTGACATCAACATCCTCCCACCAAAGGTCAGATCCAAAATCCCCTGGAAGGTCTGGCTGCCTTGTAGTGGGGTTAGGGCTCAAGACACCTAGCTGAGCGTGGAGGCTGTCTGGACAGCCCTGTGAAAGGACGAATAGAGTGTAGCTGGCTATGCAAATAGCCCAAGGCTCAGGATTTTAGCTGCTCCAGTGATCAAACAACTGGTTCCTTAAAAAAAATATATTCTGAGCCCTCAGTGGCAGCAGGATTTAAATTCTCTCTCTTGTTGGGATGGAGGCATTCTGGGACTTCCGGTTCCCTAATCCTCCCCTAAATAAATGTGGAAACTGTTGACAGGAGGGATTTGTTCCCCATGAGGTAGAGCGGCAGTGAGCCGGCTGCACTCACAATTTAATGTCTATGATCTGCTAAGCCCTTGGCTGAGCCCTTCATCCGCCTTCCTGGCATCTTTGCTGAGTGTCTGCTCATGGTTTCTTACACCGCGTCTGTCCAGGGAATCAGGGCTAGTTGCACTGACCCCTGGGAGTACAGATTAGAAAAGACTCCAGTGGGTGTGGAAGTGCCTCGGGGTCCAGGCTGCATGCGTGCTGCAGGGGACTGGACGTCAGCTCCAGCTCCAGCTCCAGGACGAAAGTTCCATAACTGCAAAACGTTTCCTTGCCAGCTCAGTGCTGCTCCTTTCTTTCTTCTCCTTTTCCCTTGTTTAGTTAGACCCTTGTCATGGAGAACAGTTAGGATACTCTGGATTTGCTGTAGGGTTGTGTGTAGTTTTGGTGGACAATGATCTGGAAGGTATGAAAGTATGAAAGAGAGTGAAAAGAGAATCAGTCTTTTGGCACCTACTGTAGAGGAAAAGGATTTGAGCAGAGCCTGCAGTCCCAGCCTCCAGTTCTGGCTGCCACCATCTCATTGGGTGTCCGACCAGTTCAGTTCCTAACTCAGCCTTGACCCCGGTTGGCTGTGAGTTCTCTGTTCTGGGGGTAGAGGCTTCCTACAAGAGATCGTGTGCAGACCCCCCACTTGAGATCCTGGAAGAAATGTTGAATCCAGCTAAGAAAAAGCCAGCATCTTAAGCTGTGGCTACATTTGTCTAAGAGAATATTTATCACAAAATCAGTAACGTCACTGGGTTGGGTGTGTGAGGTTCCTGAGGCTGAAATAAAGAATTTATCCCACCTTTTAAAAATAAGTTTGCAGATTCCTGGTCTCTCATCATGGAAAAGGGATTTTTTAGGACAAGCCAGAGGCCTGAGGTTTATTAGAGACAGAGATACAAGGCACACTCAGAGAATGGAATGTGGATGCTAAGAGAGAACATATTACAAGCTGGGGCTAGAGCACATTTAAAGGGTGTCTTCAAGAGACGTAGTCTCAGACAGTGAGGGTGAACCTTTTAGAGCCAAGTGCCCAAACTGTGACCCAAAACTCATTTATCACAAAATACCAACACCACAATTAAATGTGAATGCTGAAGTTTTAGTTTAGAAAAAGCAACTCATACATTTACATGTTTTATCTTAAAAGAAAAACAACACAGGTGCCATAGGTTTGCCACCACTGAT